ACTGGTTTGTTCTTTCTTTGAGAGGCATAGGCAGTTATCTGCGCAGCATGTCGTAATTCGGCACTTTTTTACGTTAGAGGCATTGTAAGATGTTGACCATTCAAGTAGCATTGATGCACGATTGAGTGTCATCCATCTGCTCTACGAGTTTTCTATGTAGCGAATCAGTGAAACGCCAAGTGAGAAATAGGAGCGTCAAGCGACAAGATAGATAGATAGAAATAAGAGCAACAAAATATACGAGCATTTCTTTTAAATCGAGATACAGAAAATTAGATTCCTCGTTTCAACAAGCTGTTTTAGATTGGGTACTTAAGCAATTATTCATAAACCTACGCTAATTTCACCATAACAATATTCATTATGATTCATGCATTATTTGGTGACTGACTATAAATTAACTCGATTTTGTATTTTGTTTGTGTTCCTCTAGATGTCCATCATGAAGTGAAGCAAAAGATGATCTAATAAAGCTCATCTTACCATTTACTTCAGCTAAATTAGCCTATCTCGCAAAGCTGCCAGTAAGCAACAATAGTCCCGAATGTATGGACAATGGGATTAGCTTTGTACGGAATTATTGATTTAAGAAGATAGCAAGAGATTTATCTATACATAGGAGAAGATTAGGGACGAAAAGTTTAAAATCTAATTAACGAAGAGAAGGCCTCCTTGCAAGCCTTCCAGTTGGCGTTTCTCTACGAATACGTGTTGCATTTGTGCATTTAAGGCTAATAAAAGGAGTTCAATGGCTGTACTTGACTTTTTTAAGAGTCTGACATGATTAAAATTTTCTCATAAAGTTTGAAGAAATAAGGATCGGAGATGAAGGGATCTAGAGTATTAAACACTATCATTACTAATTTGCAGGTCCTCTCTTGTTTGAACCTCGGCATTGTTACGGTATTTCAGTGTGTTCTATGCCACTTAGATTGGCACTACTGACTTAACAGAACGCGGCTGCACACCACTTTGTGCACGGGCGGTGAAACGAAGGCCTCTGAAGACGACGATTAG